ACACTTTTTAAAATTAACAATTTTGCTTAAGCAGCAGCCCGAACGGTTTCAAAGCATAGTGGGGGGCAGTAGCTGGAGCCATCCTCATTTCCTCTGGGCCACACATGAGACGGCGAAACATTCTTCAGAAATGAAAATGGAGGGCAGACTTCTTGGTGTCTCCAGCTACCAAACGCAAGAAGGCAAAGCAGTAAAAGGGATTCCTGTCTCATGAACTGGGAAGGGACACGAAAGAGAACAGTGTTGCAAGAAAAGCAGTGTGGACACCCTGACCACACCTCAACCTTGTACACAGTCTTTTCGGCAGGTTAATTTTCTGGTTGATTAGCCATGTTGTCCACGGCAGCCATTTTGTCGTGGTACCCACACAACAGTTTCTCAAATTGGCAGATATGTTCACAGGCCGCAACGTTTCCCTATGCTATTATTCTGCACTGCAGGGGTGGGCAATATGTGTCCCTCCATATGTTTTGGCACACAACTTGCATCAGCCCCAGTCAGCGGAGACAGTGGTGAGAGCTGATAGACACTGCAGACCAAAACATTTGGAGGGCTGCAAGTTGCCTCTCCCTGCCGTCCTGCTTGACTGCCTTGGAGCTGTTAAAGTTACAGACGCCGTCTTTAGCTCTGGAGTCAGCACGCTCCTTGAGCAGCAGCAAGATACATCTTTACTAAGGAGAACTGCCATTGTTCCGCTCCCAGAAGAGAGCCGAATAGAACCACCCCCAGCATTGCCATCATTTGCAGAATGAGCTCCCTGTTCATAGCTTATGACCTGTAATCTGCCTTTGAGGTAGTTCCTAATGCATCTGACGCGGGGGGAAGGGGCATCTCATCCAGCAAAGTCTGAAGCTGCTCAGACTAGAAAGAGCAGGATCAAAGGTTGCGGCCATTCTAACCTTCCCACCTCCCTGCCAGTGTGATGCTTTTTAAACACGGTTAGTTTCCAGTTGTGGAAAAGCTAAATAAACCACAAAAGCTTCATAGTGAAACAAGGTTCTGGTGGAAACATTAAAGTCAGAGGAACATTAACCCATAAAAGCTTTCTTTCCCTCAGTGATCACAACTGAGGAAAGAAGGAAATCTTGTAGTTAGTCATCCTGTGATGATAGCTTCAATGGTCTGGCTGTTATAGAATAATTGCAGCTAACCTGTAAACTATAGTATTCTCTGAATTACTGTCCTGTCAGAGGATTTTTGGGAACTTGAACAAAATCTGTTGCACCGGAGGTAGCATTCTGTGTTTTCTAAAGCCAGTCTTTCTTATACCAAATCAGAGGACTCCAAGATATTGGTACTCGATACATTCTAAACATGCAGTAGCATCACTGATACATCACAGAATACAACCTTTGATGCAGTTACTTTTATATTTAGATCACCTTTCAGGATAGAACCCTCTTAAGGCAGCATATATGATTTAAAAATATACAAACATTTGCAAGTAGACAATAAATACATATACAATACAATCCTATAAAACACTATAAAACCAATGATACCAATAAAACTTGCAACCAACAAATTAGGGGAAAGCTACCAAATGCTGCAGAACATTTCTGAAGACCTGAAAAGAAAGGGCTTGACAGATCCTTGATGGAAGCTGATTCTAGAGATGCAGGGCCACCACTGAGAAGACCTTCTCCCTTGTACTCCCCAGTCTAATTTGGTTGCAAATGAGTTTGAAGAGCCTCTTTTGATGACATTAAAGCATGCACAGACTGGTACAGAAGAAAGAAGTCCTTCAGATAATTTATGCTCAAACCATATATGAGCTCAAAGGGTAAAAACAGCACTTTAAATCATTCTGCACAAATGGAAGTTTCTGAGCTATCTTCAAAGGCAGCCCCATTTAAAGAACATTACAGTAGGGTCAAGGCTGGATGTCACAAAAGCATGAAGCACTAGAACAAGAGGTTTCCTTTCCAGATAAGGTTGCAGTTGGCTACAGCAGTTGGTGTTTCTGTCCACTTCTGCTGCCTGAGCTTCCCCAGTTAGCGCTGAGTCCAACATCACTACCAAATTGTGCATTTGGAGTACAGGAACATAAGAGGAGCATTGCTAAATCCTGCTGCACTGGGAGCATTCTACCCATGTGTCCCAGCAACAGGCGAATATAGTTATATTACATCTGACATTGGAATCAGCATATAGCCATCAGAACTAGTAGCCATTGATAGTCTTATTCTTCATGACTTTCTCCAATCCTCTTAGAATACATTCAGATTGGTGGCCAACACACATCTTGTGGACATGGATTCCATAGTTTAACTAGGTCCTGTATGAAGAGGTGCATCCTTTATCTGTCCCATTTTTTACCTGTACCATGAACCAGCTTCATGGGATGATCATGGATTCTAGTATTATATATCTCTCCACTTTCTCCACACATGCATAGTTCCGCACACCTCTGCCACATCTTCTGTTATCCACATTTTCCTAAGCTAAACAATCCCAGAGGTAACCTTCCTCACAGGAGTTTTTTCAACCCCTCGATCATTTTTCCTTGCTCTTTTCTGCACTTTTTCCAACTCTATAGTATCTTTTTTTGGACACAATGACCAAAGCTGTATTCAGTATTCCAAGTGTGGCTGCACCATAGATTTATACAGGGGTAGTATGATATTGGTGATTTTATTTTCAATTAGTTTCCTAATTACATTGAAAAGAGAATTAGCCTTTTTTTAAAGCAGCCACACATTGGGCTGACATTGTCATTGTGCTGTCCACCACAACCCCAACATTCTTCTTGGTCAGTTACTGCCAACTCAAATTTCTTCAGCTTATTCCAGAAGTTGGGATTTGTCCCAGCATGCATCACTTTACACTTGCTTCCTTTATTCTCCCAGTTTTGATGAATCCTTTTGGAACGCCTCACAATCCCATTTTGCTTCGATTGTTCTAACTAATTTGGTGTCACTAACAAACTTAGCCATTTCACTGTCCACTCCTACTTCCATTTATGAACAAGTTGAAAGCATTGGTGCTTGTGGGGACCCACTGTCTACATCCTTCCACTGGGTGAAATTACCATTTATCCCCATTCGCAGCTTTCTGTCCTTTAACCAGTTAAAGATCCAGAAGGGGGCTTTGTTCTTATTCCATGACTGCTAAAGTTGCCCTGGAGTCTTTCATGAGGAATTCTTTTGGAAGACCAAGTTCCAAATATATTCTGGCTTGCCTCTGACCACATCTAACCTCATCTAAGACCAGATACAATCTTCTGTCCAGATTGGTTGATTTCTCTGCCCACAGTGCCTCCTAGCTGAGGTTCATTTTGTTCTTTGCTGTCCTCTGCTGTGGCCCAGCCCTGGGTGCAGGCATGCATGCTGGCTCCCACTACTTTCTTCAGGACTTTGTAACATTATCCTCCATGTCTGGCCAAGCTCTACGTTTATTCCCAGCTTCTGCCCTCCCCCACCCTCCGCTGTTGCCCTCCTTCTCCTCTGCTATATTAATTTCCCCTCTCAGCTGTGCATTTTCAGCCTTAGTAAACTCCATGCTAACCACATTAGAGTCACACATCATTAGCTGCCAGATGAAACCACTCAGGCATTTCTGCAACTTTGCATTGTGTGATGTTAACATGGATGGATGTCTAACAGAATCCAGAGCTTACCCTGGATCAAACTGGCAGAACACTGTGATTTTGGCTACCTGGAGGTCTTTGGTTGAAGGGTGCAGTTTGGCTGGAGTTATATAAAAGATGGACAAGCAAATTAATACTCGTCAACTGATTCATCCAAGGGTGCTTCCAGATAGGGGGCTACTAGCACCATCAATCAAAAGACATTGTGCAGCTATTTGGTATTTCCCTTTTGAACATATTTTATGTGGTAAGAAAAAAGAGAGAAGACAGTAGGAAAACACAGGAGGGTGACAAATGGAAGACAATGGTGTCTGGACCCCCCCCCCATAAAATCCTGTGTGTCAGGCAGGCACAATAAAAGCCTTGTCTGGAAGTATGCCAGGCGTCTATGCTAGCCTTCTCCAGCCTGCTGGTCTTTGGACTTCAACTCCCATCTGCCCCAGCCTTCATGGCTAATATTTAGGAAAGCTGGGAGTTGGCATTCACAGCATCTGGAAGGGGCCAGGCTGGGGAAGGCTGATTTATGCATTTGGCAGGCAGCAGTGCTTGTAAGGAAATGGCAAAGACTTCAGAGCAACCAGTAACATGCATCCCTTTTGTACTCCAGCTTCAGGTGAGTTCTGCTGATCCCCAGGCTGGCAAAAGGAAATGCCAGCTTCAGTCTTTTAGGCATCGGACTGCTGGTAATAGATACCTGCTGGTACGAACAAGCTCTTCTCAGGTCGTTACCAGCTGGCCTTTATTCCCAGGGGTGCCTTGGTGCTGTTTTCCTTGATTCCAGGGTGAGGGAAAAGAATCAGAAAAGGAACTGTGCCTCCACAGAGTTAGGACGCATATCCAAATTCCCCCTTCCAAGTCCTTATCCCTTAACTATACAATGTTTGTCACTCAGTGAATCAAGTTTATTGAGCATAAGATGGATGGGGTAAGAAGATGTAATATAACCTACACAATCAAGCAAAATGAAAGTCTCAGCGACTACTCATCTGAACATACAAAATTACCTTTTGCCATGCTGACCGATAAGAACTTTTCCTTCATAGCTTGTAGCACTTGCCTAGAACGGGGTTAAAAATGAACTCCCATCGTATCTTGAAACTTGCTGGATGACCTTGGGCCTGTCATTCTCTTATGAAGATGAAATAGGCTAAGCACCTTACATGGTGCCCTGTGTGGAAAAGTAAAACATGTGGTGCGGTCAACACGTGCTTTTTCAATTCCCGCCTCATTTGCCTTCAATCACTGCCCTTCCCTCCCCTTCCCAGGAATAAGAGATATGGGATGTGCCCTTTCTTAATCCAGGATCCAGAATAAGTAGGAATGGAGGTCTCTGCTTTGGTGGGGAAGACCTGGTGGAAAGGGCTGGTTCCTTGAATCCTCACATCACGTTTCCTGCTCTCTGGTCCTTTAGGTACAATGGCCCCAACCTAGTGCTGAAGTACGACAAGGCACGGGGGCGGCTGGTGAATCTTGCGGTGGATGAGCATAGCTCCCCATACTATGCGCTGCGGGATCGCCAAGGCAATGCAATCGGTGTGGCAGCGTGTGACATTGATGGAGATGGACGGGAGGAGATCTACTTCCTCAACACCAATAATGCCTTTTCTGGTGCGTGTCAAAGCCACTGACATTCAACTTGCAACTGACGACCAAATTAAGGAATCAATCTTTTCACGTACCTTTTGAATTTCTTCACTACCATTCTCTGATATCCATCCATCTTTTATATGTAACCCATCAAGCCCTACCAACCGATCAAATCACCTTGCCATACTCCTCTGTCTTCCAACATTTACTTAATTCTTGCACCTATCCACTGTCACGCATCATCTCCATCGTCCCGTGCTTTGGCACTTCTGCCCATAATGCCCATTCAACCCATGGCTCCAACCCACCACGCCACATTCGCTCACTTATGCCAAAGACAGGTTCTTTGTTGTTTTTGCTGCATCAGAGCAACGCAGCTACTCTGGGAGAATCATCGCATTATAACATCCTGGCCAATACCAGCCAGCTCCCCGTGTTTCTTCCTGCAGTGAGCAGCAGCTTCCAAAAAAGCATGCAAGTGATCCACTGAGGGGCATGTTTTGCTGAGGGGGGTGAGCAGTGGTCTGCCTTATTTGTTTAATGTTCAAGTCCTCTTCTATCATATAGTTTGCTTTGGGGCTTCACCTGTTAGCCCTGAGCCACTGACTCTAGTTCCCTGACCTTCACTGGCCACCAGGGTGGGATGTTTCAAGGCTGGAGTTAATTTCCCAGCTGAGTGATTTTGTCGATTCTCTGGAAACAGTGAGGGCGGCAGTGTGTATATGTGAGTGTGCGTAGGGGGAGGCTTGGCTGCTGACTCAGGGCTTTGCCACATCTCTAGTTGCCAGCAAAGATTCAAGCTTAAGGAGCCCGGGAACTGCAGTGGGATGGACAAGTGCCTCTCCATGCAAGGAGACAGTCCTTGAGGCAAATAGGTTTGGGACAAACAGGGGCAGGGAGCAGAGGTCATGAACTCCTGCATGTTCTGCTTCTGCAGCCTAGTCATGGCAGCAGACAATATCTTTTCCCTTTGGGAAGAGGATGCCCTCATTTCTAGGTTGGCATTAAGAGACCCCTTGATGCTTCAGAAGCAGAGATGTTTAGCATGCTGTTGCCGTGACTAAATACGTGGACCTGGCCCAAAGGTAGGTACTGCCAGCTTTGTTGCTCCTTCCTGGGTGTCAGAGGGAAATTGCACTCAAGTTCTCACTCTTTCCTTGCATGGCTTCACATGTGCATGTGGGCACCCTGCTTTATCAGATCCAGCTGTGCTCCTATCACTGTCATTCCTTTTCTGGCCTCCATGCTGGATCTTGTGGCTGTTTCTTGATCCATGAAAGTTGGGATTTCTCTGCACATATTGATTACCCCTTCCTCCCAAGTTGCTTCAGTGCATTTGCTCTAAACCACTTTTTGGGGTTCCTGTGACAATCTGCCCAGAAAAAAGTGCTGCCTCATCCACCCCTCCTGAGTTGGGCTGGGTCCCTCACCTGCGCCATCGACCTGATCATGGCTCCACTTATTCGTCTTCCTGACACACCTAATTACTGTTTTGCAGCTGCCAAAGGCTGCTGCTCCCTAAATCAGCCATTCACATTACTCCTGGCGTCGGGGCCCGACCAGTGCCTGCCATTGATTTTCCCTTTTCCCTTTATGATGTACATGGCTCCACGCCGCTCTGGCACATTTTACCTTAATGAGTTTATTCTTCTGGGCCTCCCTTATCAGCCCTTAAGCTTTGCTGGGGTTGCTGCATTCACTGTAGTGCAGTCGCAGTCATAGCCCTGCAGTACTGGCTAGCAATTAGGCACAGGGGTGAGGATATCGATGGGGGCGGGCAGAAAGGCTGATGGTCAGGAGCGAGCGTCTGTCTGCAGAGTGGATGGGATCCCAATGCACTCACGGGGGGCTTTGCTCTGGCTCAGGTTATAGGGCTTCTACAGTCCCACATAAATATCTGCAGATATATGGCGTGGCATTTGCACTGTATAAGCCTGTGGCCCGGGAGCAGCTCTATGCTAAGTCCCCACACTTGCTTCCGGGTGCCCTAGAGAGGGCCTGCCACCAAAGGACGTGGCTAAGGCTGTAGAGCACAAGACTCACAAAACAGAAGGGTTCCTGGTCATCGTCGAGCAACTGCGTTGATTCAGCATACAACAGAAGGCCCCTGGCATGCCTGATGCTGTATCTCTCCTTCCCAGGTGTAGCCACCTACACAGACAAGCTATTCAAGTTTCGCAACGGGCACTGGGAGGACATCCTGAGCGACGAGGTGAATCGGGGTGTGGCGAGCCGTTTTGCCGGGCGTTCAGTGGCATGTGTGGATAGAACGGTGAGTGCATGGGCAGTCCGGTATGGGATGACAGGTGCTACAGCGTCCTTCTCCAGATCCATACCCTCCAGATGTTCTGGATTGCACTGGACTGGGAATGATGGGAGCAGTAGTCCAGCATACCTGGGAGGTGCCTGTATAAGTAAAACTGGACTATAGCTTCAGGACAAGACATCTTTGGCAAACTTGAGGAAGGTGCCCAGTTAGGAGCTGAAAAAGCGTCACCGAAGCTACACAAAGGGAGAAAATAGGCTTGGAGGGGCCTTGCTCTCCACAACCCTTCGGTGGACAGGCTTTGCCCCTCCCCCACAGCTGTCAGGACTCCCATCAGGGGCTGCTGTGCCAGGCAGGTGCCGTGCTGCTGATAAACACCGCCTGTCTGGGTGATTTATGCCCCTGTCACCTGTGCTTTCTTCTCCCTCTACCTTGCGTAGTTCTTTTTCAAATGATTACTGCTAAATCAGGGTGTCCTGGGAGAACAACAGGGGCAGTGGGAACGGTTGGCAGAGAAGCTTAAGGCGAGCGGGGAACATGAAGGACTGGTGTGCTCTGTTGGAGGCCCAGGGAAGGGAAGGAAAATGAGGATGGATTAGGCCTGTCTTGTGTGGGTTCAGCTGCCTGGCATTGCGTGTACGTTTAGGACACTTCTCCCAGTTAGGGCCCTGGGCCTGGCGCCCACCAGGTCTACTCGCATGCAGAGGGGAGGCAACCACTCCTACAGAGAGTCAACCTCCTCCCTCCCCGTGCCCTCACCTTTCCTTCCCACAGGGATCTGGCCGCTACGCCATCTATATAGCTAACTATGCCAATGGAAGAGTTGGTCCCCATGCCCTCATTGAGATGGACACTGCTGCTAGTGACCCAGAGCTTGGCATTGTGGCACTGAATGACGTTGCAGCAGAAGCAGGAGTCAACAAGTTCACAGGTAGGAGAGCAGAGGCGCTGCTGTTCTGAGAGCGAGCCCAGAAAATGAAAGCAGGACTGGCTTCAGGCAGGCCTGAGCATCTGAGTCGGGGCATCACTGATCAGGGCTCGCCCCGGGTTCAAGGAGCCTCTTGGCAAAGTAGCCTCCATGGGGTTCCTTTTATGTGACTTGTGAAGGAGCTTACCTTGTAGATCAGTAGAGTGGCAGAAATAGTATTTTTCCTTAAATCTTACAGAGTGTGACAGGAAGCCTTTGGATGGTACTGGCAGCTTAGTTTTGTTCTCCCACAGAGCTTCAGGTGTTCCCTCTGTCTGGGCATCATGGAGAAAATGAAACGATGGCTATCACAAGATCGTGACACTTCCTACCAGTGGCTGCTATTTGGCAGATGCCTATGGATGCTCATTGCAACGTTGGCCTTGTCTCCAATTCCAGCCCAGCTTCCACTGAAAGGCCATCCATCGGGCTTGTCTCTCTTGTCTAGTTTTAGAGCAACTGTGATGACTTGATGATTGTTGAAGAAGACTGAACCCCAGCATCATAGGGAGACTCAGTGCAGAGCATTCCATCCAAGTGATGGTGGGTTAATGTGAGAGGATGTTTCATTGGTCTTGAAGTGTCCCAGCAGGAACCACTCTCCAGTCTTAAATCAGGGTGTCATAGGACACCCCAGCTGGACGTCCCAGTCACCTGCCCCCACAGGGAGCTTTCTGGAGCTTTCACTCTTCCTCTTCCCAGGGGGTCGGGGCGTGGCTGTGGGCCCCATCCTCAGTGAATCAGCCTCTGACATCTTTTGTGACAATGAGAATGGCGCCAACTTCCTCTTCCAGAACCAGGGTGATGGTACCTTCATAGATGTTGCACCTAGCACTGGTAAGTACATGACTTGGGTCAGAGACCATGGGTTTGAGGACACACAGACAGCTGTGTATCTCTTGGCACTCTCTAATCCCAACAGGCCCCTGAGATTTACCCATCCCACTGCTTGCCTGGGTGGGGTGGGATGAGGCATGGGGTAGGGCCAGGTGATGAGTGCATGCTGTCTCAGTCAGTGTTAGTTTAGCATCTGGCTGATCACTGGAGTTTAACGAGGTGTCAGGGTGACATCACCATGCTGCTGATGACACCTATTTTCTCTTTCAATACTCCTTCCTTGTCAGCAAGAGAACAGCACTTGGGCGGCCAGGGGAGAGAAAGGGGAGTTAGTTCTATAGCCCCTGATCCACTAGGCACCCCCCAAAACCTGCATCTCTCATGGTACCTGACTCAGTTCTCCCCTGGGAGACTGAATTTGGGTCCTGTTGATTAAGAGCTTCCAGAATACCTTCTTGCCTCCTTCCCCAGTGTGGGGCCTGGGGCCCCACATCAACAGTGGGAAGGTTCCATTGAGGATACAGGGCCTTGTCACCTTCAGGAACACAGCCCTGCTGACTCCTCTGCTGCCCTCTGTAGGCTTGGATGACCCATACCAGCATGGTCGTGGTGTGGCATTGGCCGACTTTAACCGCGATGGCAGAGTTGACCTGATCTATGGCAATTGGAATGGACCACACCGGCTCTATCTGCAGATGAGTGCAGGTGGGCGTGTCCGCTTCCGGGTAAGTGCCACCTGGGTGAGAGAGGGCCAGCGAATGGCAGACTCCCAGAGCATCCTGGGTAGTGAACAGGGAAATAGTGGTGGTGGGTACTCAGGCTCCAATAGACAAAAAGTCTGAGAAAGAATGAAACACGTAGATCTGATATGATCACCCAAAGAGACCCCTTTCTCTACTTCCAGTTCAGTTGCCAGACATTCCTTCTTTAAAGCAGGATGTTGAACCTTTCTCAGCCTGAGGGCCACATTCCATTTCAGAGATGCCCCTGAGGGCTACACTCTAGCAGTGGACAGGCCCAAAGGCAAAGGAATGAAGCCAAAATGCCAGCATAGTTTAGCCTAAAGCTCTTACTGCCGGTAACTAAGCCTCAGGAGAAGCTTATAGAATGGTGGGGTGGGTGGGTGCTGGACAACAACATTGCCCCACAGCCTGGAAACCCTAAACAATGTGTTTTGGGGCAGGTGAGTAGAGATGAGGGAAAGGGTGACTGGGGAACTTCTGGAAGGCCAGACTGGGACCTCGGAGAGCCAGATTTGGCCCCTGGTCCTGAGGTTCTGCACCCCTGTTTTAAAGGATTGCCTCCTGTTTCAGGCACGCAACACCAGAGTATTCCTTCTTCCTGCAAAGTAGACCTGGCAGAATTTTCCTTACTGTGGTCTCCACCCAAGTGCCCACTATAGTAGCTTCTGGCCTATCTCACTCTTACCCCCTTCTTTCCTGGCCCAGGCACCACTCCTATTCCCATCACCTAATTCTATGCCTAGACCCAAGCTTCCTCTTGGCCCTGCTCCAGCCCAAGCCCTGCCCCACTAATCCCCGTCCTTCCCCCAGGACATTGCCACGCCCAAACTGTCCATGCCATCACCTGTCCGCACCGTCATCGCTGCTGACTTTGACAATGACCAGGAGTTGGAGGTCTTCTTCAACAACATCGCCTATCGCGGCTCGTCCGCCAACCGCCTCTTCCGGTGGGTGAGAGCCACATGGCCACCAGAGACTGGGGCAGTGGGCTCCCCATCTTACTAGGCTCCGGGCACTGCAGGAAGGGCTTCCCCTCACCAGAGGCTGCTGCAAATCTGTCCTGTCTTTAGCAAGTCCTGCATGCAGAGCAGAGGGTACGGGGTGGGTGGGTGGAGGGAGGGCTGAGTTCTCAAGCCACAGTATACTGCTATTTAGTGCCCTGTGCCATCATCCGCAGAGGTAAATTGGCTCCACCAGGATGGGCAAGGGGTGTCCTATCCAGTTCTCTCCTACCTCCAGCCAGCTGATAGAGCTGTGACTGAGCCCCTTCCGACATCACTACCAATATAGCCATCTGTTTTGCCTGGACCACATCCCTGGAGGTTCTGGCTTCCACTAATTAGCACTTATGCATGGTTCCCATTAATTGTAGGCAATCAATGGCTCGTTAAACAGAGCCGCTTACATTTCTCAGGCTAATAAAGTGATAGCAGCAGCACATGGCAGCTCTGGGGAGTCTGTGCAGATACCTGACAGTGTGCAAGTGGGCAGGGGCTCTTCCGGAAAGAGGCGTGATGACCAGGGAGGCCTCATTCTGCGGAGGCAGGGTGGTTCCAATCCAAGCTGTAGACTTGCCCCGTCAAGCATACTCACGTAGGAGGGAAATGCATTTGTCCTTCCCTGCCATGATGCCTTTGTGCCACAGGATCACCCGCCGAGAACACGCTGATCCAGCCATCGAAGAACTGAACCCTGGCGACGCAGTGGAGCTGGAAGGGCGTGGCACTGGTGAGCAGCTATGGGGCCTGTTGTGGACCATGAGTGGGTTTCGTCATTTAGTGAGAGATGTACAGGAAGGGGTCCTAGAGCCTTTTTGGTGTGATGAACGTACGTGGAACGTCCAGCAGCGTTGGCACGTTGAGTGTGTCACGTGCGTTCCCACCAAATGGCCGCCGTGTGTCTGGGGCTTACACAGTCATAGAATGTCAGCCATGGTGATGGCAGCCCAAAACCACTATTTTCCCACAAAGGTAACTTGACTGAGAAGCTAGGTATGAGGCACACATGGTGTCTGCCGAAACACAAAGCCTTTACATCCAACCCAGTAAAGGAAGCACTGGAGGGTGGCACTCTGCTTTGCAGCATGTCAGGCTCTCAGTATAATAATACTTTGAAAATCAGAAAACAATAAAATGGAAATCAGGCAGTGAGCTTGGGTGTCAAGAGAGGTATCCATAGGCGCATTGGTGCTCGCTGGCATCATGCTGGAGACCACCGTTGTAAGCACTGGAGGGGGTTGGAACTGACCTTCAGCCAGAGAGGAGCACTCAGGGAGAGGTGTCCCTCCTGTGTGAAGAAGAATCTGGATGCCTGGACTTAATGGTCATGCACCTCCTTCTCCCAGTCTTACAGTGGCACTGTGCATCCTGTGCTTCCTTCAGTGTAAGGTAAGCTGGTTCTGCTCCTTGTCTGCTCAGTGGGGCCTTGGGCATCTCTCGCAAAGTCTTGTCCTGGTGGGGCCACAGCTGCTGGCTTTTTGCAAGACTTTTACCGAGCCCAGTAAAAGGGGCCTCTTTAAAATTCAGACATTCCTGTCCCAGACAGCCGATTCCTCGGTCTGAAGAGGGCAGGTCACCTTGAGGGTGGTGGCAGTGAGTGTCTTTCCACAGCATGTGCTGCAGGGCACTTGCAAGGGAAAGGGAAGGGCAAGATCAGGACTTTCGAATGTCTTTCAGGCGGGGGGACAAAACATCCACACGGCGTGGGCCGCAAGGCCTCTGGCTTGTTCACACAGTCGGCTGCCTTTTAGAGCAGCTTTCCCTGACCTCATGCTTTCCATATGTGTTGGACTACAACTCCCATTGCTCTCAGCCAGCATGGCCCTGCTTGGTCAGAAGTATGGGCACTGAAGTCTAACACCATGCCGGGGAGAGCTCTTGGAGCATGGCAAGGTAGGGAAAGAGGACCTCTGGGTTTGATTCTCATCCACAGGCAGGAAGCTGGTCCTTTGGGTAACATGAGCAGAAAGGGTAGAAGGTGCTGCCATTAAGGACTGGACCCCAGGAGAAAAAAAGCAGCCCATGGAATATGTAGGCATGGGAAAGATGGTGTCACTGCAGGTGAAACAGGGGGACGCGATGGAAAAAACGTTTCCGTGTCTCTCTCTCCTGCTGGGTGTCCTGCCAGCCTTGATTGTGGAGGGGGAGTGTTGTCCTACCAGGAAAGAGGTGCTGAAAGAGCCTTGCTGCTTACTTCAGTTGTGTCGTTGTAGGGGGGGCAGTGGTGGATTTTGATGGCGACGGGAGGCTGGACCTGATCCTGTCGCATGGCGAGTCCATGGCACAGCCCCTCTCAGTCTTCCGAGTCAACGAGGTAGGTCCTCGCCAGGTGCGTTGATCTCAGCCGACCACGCGTCATCAAGCATGCTTCCCCCTCCCTCAGTCTCATGCCCACCGCATCCCCCCTTGGCTGAGTCTGTCTGTCCATCTCCACAGGGTGCTGGCAACAAATGGCTGCGGGTGATTCCACGTACACGCTTTGGGGCATTTGCTCGTGGTGCTAAGGTGGTGCTGTTCACGCGGCACAGTGGTGCCCATCTGCGCATCATTGATGGAGGGTCTGGGTACTTGTGCGAGATGGAGCCTGTTGCCCATTTTGGTCTGGGTGAGTGAGGAGGAGCCGAGGCAGGGCTTGGAGTGTCATCCCAGGTCTCTTCTTGACCTGCCCATCTGCCCAGCAATGCCAACAACACACAGCATTTGGGCTTCCTTCAGTCTTCTCTGTCTCTCATTCCTGACAGTGCCTGCCAATCACTAACACATTGCAAGCCACACAAACGTCTGATTTGGACCTTTCACAAATGCACATCCGAATCATTTGATTCCCTTCGGTCAGAAACTTCTGCCTCTATTTGTATTGCCCCATCCTTGAACTCCACCAATTCTGTGAATGTCCTTTAGAAATACTGTTGAGTCTACATTCCAATATGGCCTAGCTCCCCGTAGTCCTTTTCCTTGAAAACTTTTGGAAAATCTCTTTCCCCATCTTCATCTAATCAAGTGTTCCAGGGGCTCTAACAGAAGTTTGCATTCCCAGAACCAGCGCATACATTGCAGAGAGGCCCTGGTTGCCCTCTCCAGCTGTTCCTACAGAAGGTGCTGTATATCTCCACACCTCATTAATCTTCCACAGCCCTGAGGTGGCCCGGCTTAGTGGGGCATAGCCAGGTTAGACTGGGCTGTGAATCAGGAAGCCAAGTAGCTCCAAAAGTCAGAGGGGCCATGTGCCAGAATGCCCCTGCATCCCTGCTCACAGCTGGCTTGGTGCCTGGGAGCTGTGCTGGTATTGGCACGGAGTGGCTGGCCGAAGGACACGATCCCATCCCATCCCCAGTTCTTTCAACTCTGTAAGGGGAGGTTGTCAAAATGGGGGAGGAGGGAGAAGAGGAGAGCATGGAGCAAGCCATGGGAGAAGGAAACTTCTCCAGCTGTAGTTCTGCTTTTTGAGTGGGCTGCAGTTTTCCCCGGCTCAGCATTTCTTTGCCCTTCTTCTCTGTAGGACAGGATGAGCCCAGCAGCCTGGAGGTGATCTGGCCAGATGGACGGCTTATCAGCCGGACTGTAGTGAGCAGTGAGATCAATTCTGTGCTGGAAATCCCCTACCCCCAGGACGCTCCAGGGTCACCCCCTGTTATACTTCCTCTTGAGGTAAGCCCCATTTTGCTAGTCCTATGCCAGTGATTTGGAATGGGTCCTTCCCAAGCGCTCCCTTCAAACCAGTGTTCTTTTTCTCATCTTTCTGGGAAAAGAGCCACATAAACTCCTGATGGATGCTCTGTACTTTTTGAGTTAAGGGGTTTTTTGTCCCATTACTAAGGCAAATTGCCAACTGAAGCTTTGTTTCCTGTGTAAGGAATCTCAAGAACCATTGTAACTGTTCCTTCCTCTAATAATCGACTCAGTGCCCTCTGTGCTGAAAGAAACTGAGCCCATACAGGACAAGATGGTGGTATCAGCAAGCTAAGGAGAATTCCAAGGTTAGCAAAAGTACAAAAAAGAAATCTAGAACTAAAACTCCAAGATAGGGAGCAGCCACACCTGCTTCAGGTCAATGAAGACTGAGCATGTTCAGTCTTCATGTCACCATGAATTATAGAATGCTGAGTCCCAGATAAGGGATGGGAAGGAGTGTATTAGTTTGCTTGAGTGGCTTATACCTTTTACTAGTCCTCCCTGACCACCAAAATAAAGAGACAAGGTTGTACCTGATATTAGTACAGTTTTGGTCCCATTTATTTCAATGGATCTGCTCCAAGTAAGAGTAACCTTGCATACAACCCATGATTTCTCAAGGTACTCAGAAGGGCACTCTTGGTATACCTTTGTGAATTGAAAGGAAATTATGAAATAGAGAAGTGAAGCGAAAAAGCAGCTACTGTCCAAAACTGCTTGACTCCTCTGAGTTTACACCATTCTAATGGCCACTGAATCTGCAGGGAGCAGGAGCTGGTTGGTGACTGGGGAATCTGAATGGCCTTCCACAAATAGCCTGCCCTCCAGCTATGTTGGACTAAAATGCCTATCATCTGCACCCCTGCTGGATGGGAATGATGGGGTTGTAGTCCAAGAAGTCTAGAGAAGTTGGGGAAGTTGGGTCTAAAAAAACAGAAGCCATGCAGATACATCAATCAAATCCGTGGCTGAAAGCAGCTTGAGACCAGAATTGTGCGTTAGTTGAAAACAAAAGCTAGAGAAATGGAAGGCTGAGGAAGGGAATTGTCCTGCTTAAGCTGCTGTCTGCACATAGTAAGTAACTAGAATGGGGAGAACTGGAGTTGTAGGAATGCCTCCCCCATCTCTAGAACTATGTACATTAGGTTCCTGCTATTAGCTATAATCTACTCAGCTTTGGGGCTAGCTCCTCTTACACACTAGATGAAAACCTGGGGAAAGGGTGTCCTCCCACTGCTGACACTTATAGACAAACACACACACAAACACTACCCTTGAAGCCTGAGCAGCAGTTGGTGAGGATGGACTGCCGCAAGTTCTACTTGTGACATATTTTTTCACTATTTCCTTCCATCTTTAATATTTCAGGCACTTTTACAGTGCAAAATAAATAGAAAAATAATAAGACTGAGGAAAAGGAAAGGGAAAAAAGTGTAAGCGACAACACAAAATTTTTATATAGCATCATTGATATGACTGGGGGTAGAGGGGAACATAAGACTGGGCCTTGTTTTTAGACTTGTTATTCCAAAGGTTAATAGACAATGAGTCTTTTTATACAAACATATCATTTTGTGGTTTATATTGCCCTCTTGTGAAATAAGTTAGTTCTGTAATAAGGGCTTTATCCCATATTTCTTCAAACCATTCTGTAGGACTGGATGGCTTTATTGATTACCAGTTTGTGCAATGCAAATCTAAATTAATATGGCACATTTTGTTCAATTTGTATGATTTAACTGATAGGTAACTTCATATTTCTAAAAATATGTGACAGAAGCTATTTATCATACACAAATAAGCTGGTGCCCTAAGTTTTTTAGAATTGGGGTACGCAACCTCTTTTGGCCTACAATTCCCATCAACTCTACTTAGCTTAGCCAGTACTGGGGGTGGATGGAAGTTATATGCCAAAATATCTAGTTAGGGGATGAACAAAAAGAAACATGCATCAAAGGATGAAAATAAAAATAAAGGGATTAAAGAGCAATCAAGATGAAAAAGCAAGTGACATAACAGCATGACATTTAAGAAGCTGCTTTTTAAATATAAATGAGAGCAAGGCAGATGTCAGAGGGGTGCATCTAGAAACTGAGCTCCACATATAATTTGAAAATCAGTTCCTGCTTTAGCTAAACCAGGTCACATGTTGCACTTTGAAGGGTGTTCTACCACACCTGTAAGTACCTGTAGCATTTTTCTAGGATGGGTGCATCCAAGCAAAGTGTTTCCAGAATGACAACAAAAATGAGGCTTTCTACTTTCCTATCCCTCTTGTTCAAGCCAGACCATTTCCAAATCTCTTCAGCTCGGTTCCCTTCTACTGGTCCAGTTCCTCTATTCTGGAGCTCCCTGAATTGTGACAGCAAGATTAAAAATTGATCAGAGTGACTAGAAGCTGTAAAATAGTTAAAGAGGCCTTGGTGCGAGACAGATAATAACTGAAGTGATGTTGCTATAAAATGTGCTTCTGTCAGCACAATGACTTTTGATGTTAGGGATGTGGTGGCAGGAGACAAAGAGTAGGAGAGAGTTTGTGTGTATGTGTGAGTGTGTGTGTCTGTGCACACACATGTGGGGCCCACTTGGTATAGTCCCTGGTGACAAAGGGGTTGCCACCTTAGCTCTAGAGTTTAAAAAGTCAGACATGGCTTTTAGCCACATCTTCAAAGGTTTGTATAGCTTGTGTCTTAGAATACTGGAATAGCATGTAACTTTTTTCATTGATCCACAGATTGTAGGACAGCATATTTGCTCATCCCAAGATACTGAAAAAAAATAGGTACAGAGAAGCAAAGAAACTGAGACCTGGAGGAATGACTAGGGAAGTAATAACAGCCCCTGACTAACCTGCCCAAATTCTATACAATTTTTAAGGCATTGAACAGAAACTTTATGTATGTTTTTAAGAACTGACTGCATAACAAAAAGGTTCAAACTGGAGAACTACCACATTAGCTACTATATGGTCCAAAGCAGAAATTGCAGACATATAATTCTCTCTGGAAATTGCATCTCTGAATGGGCAGAGCAGGGAGGGATGATCCTGAAAGGAAATTAAGCACTGATGACAAATTTCTCTCCTTCCCTCGCAGTGCGGCCAAGGATTCTCTCAGCATGAGAATGGGCGATGTGTCGGTGAGTCACTTGGCAGGGGCAGGCCTGTGGCGGGTGCTTTCCTCTGCCGGCAACTGGCCTCAACAGGGTAGAATCGCAGCTCTTTGGTATCCAGTGACAAAAGCGTGGCCGCATTCTGAGCAGAAAGAAACCACCCAAGCCTGGTGTGAGAGGCCGCGGGTACTGGGCACGCATCATGTTCTTGTTCTCTTTGCTTCTCCTTAGATATGGATGAGTGTGCAGAATTTCCCTTTGTCTGTCCAAGAGGCAGGCCCATCTGCATCAACACATATGGTGGGTACCGTTGCCGCAGCAACAAGCGCTGCAACCGGGGCTTCGAGCCCAACGAAGACGGCACAGCGTGTGTTGGTGAGTGGTGGCTTGAGCAGAGCAAAGAGGTTAATTCCTCACCGAGGCTGAGTTTGGAGCTCACTCCCCAATGATAGCCAATGGGTTGGCACTTCTCGCATCAGGCAGGGAAATGTTTAGCTGGAGTTGGGTTGGATGTGTATACAAATGAAGGCCCAGCAAATGAAGGTCCAGGAGCAAGGGGAGGAGAAAATCTGACTGGCTAGTGAGTTTGGAAACACAGTTTCTTCACATCTACTGACAAGAAGATGGTGTAGTAGCGACAATATAACCAGTGGTGTAGTGGAGCCAAGACTCGCAGGCATCCAGCACCAAGACTTTCTTTTATTAGCAAGAACGCTAATGCCACTTGCTTCCACCACCCTCAGGTTTTCCTGTTCTCACTGAGGTTACTTACTATCATAAGTCCATCTTGCCCCTTTCTACCTTCAAGCATATCTAGACAGAAGAGTTTTGCAATACAGTTCTTTATTTGGAATAAGTAGGGGGGTTGTGATATAGGTTGCATCATAAGAAGGTTGTTTTCAAGAAACGGCAATCAAAGAAGCATTATCTCTCTTTTGCCCATGTGAAGAGTTGATTCCAAACCAAAGATGCCCTCCATCTGCCCTTTCCTGAAAGATCTGACTCTCCTCTCAGGGAGTTTTGTGCTGTTTGTGGGCCTGATGGTGGATTGTTGGGTGTTGTTTCACTGGGCCACTTGTTTGGCTTGACACCAGTTCGCTGAGTTAATGAATCCATATGGCTGAGGAAGGTTCCTCAGACCCTTCCTGTTCTACAGCATCTCCTCACAAATTCAAGGTGACTTGGCCCTCAGAAGCTCTCTGACAAATCTTGTTTGCTAACCTTGACATTTCTGTTCCACATTCCAGCCCCTCTCCTTCTCTGTCTAATTCACAGTCTGTCTGAACTTTCTAACTGGGGATCTGTGTTTTGAGAGAAACTGGTTCCATCTCAAACCCCAAGGAGTAATAGATTTTCCCAGAAAAAAAATATTTTTTTCCTGATATTTTGAGGTGCCCCAGTCATGAATGATCAATTAAGACCCGTTAGTTTTACAAAAGTCATGTTCCTGGTATCAACAACACTAGAACTGCTTCATTGTTATGGATCAACATAGCAACTTGAATTTTTGGCATGGCTATGAAGGCTGTCACAATGAGCACCTGCACTTCCAAATTTACCACTATACCACTGACCATAGCATTTCCTTACTGTTTTAGAGCCCTTGGTACAATGCCCAAGGGCAGTAGGACAACAGTGGAGAAGTGCTAGAACAGACTTCCTTGAACCTGGTCCCCCAGTTGTTCTGGATTTCAACTCCCGTTAGCATGGTCAATGGTCAGGAATGCTGGGAGTTATAGTTCAAAACATCTGGAGGGGATGAGCTTGGGGAAGGATGTAATAGAGTACATTTTGGGCCAAACTTGGCATCTGATATCAGATATGGGTCTGGTGAACTATAATAATTGATGAACAACTGCAAAGCAGTGGGAAGAGGGCGGTTTGCTGGGGGAAATTGGCAGGTAGGGAAAATGGTGCTCAAAATTTTCCTCACTTGCTTTTCAGTGCTGTTTCCCAATGATTCGGTGGCAGTGGGGGTTTGGAAGCCTTTGTCTCCTGCTCTGCAGGGCTGGTGTCAAGGGCAGGCATGGTTGGGCACCTCAGCCAAGCAGGGCCCCACTGTCAAGAGCCTCCTGGAGTGGCTCCTTCTCTTCTCTGTTGAAATCTGCTTGTTCACCTGCCTCTTTGGTCCTGCCAGCAGTGGTGATGAGAAGGAATAGGTACCACAGCTGGCCTAGTCACCAACTCTCTTGCCTGCCAGGCAAGCAAGTGGTACCTATAAGGAGCAATAGAGGCTGATGGCAATGGCAAAGAAAAGGTAGTCTCACCAAGGAAGGGGGGGGGGTCTTTGCCAAAGACCCATAAAAACCTGCAGCTGGCACTGCTGCCAAACATGTGGTATAGCCCCTGCTCCTCTATCCTGAAGGTCTCTTGCTGTTTGTCACTAATTCATGCCCTGTCCTCTCTCTCTCTCTCTCTCCCCCCCCCCCCACTCCCCCTCTTCTATTTCCTTCTGTGTGCAGCTCAAGTGGCCTTTTTTGGTGGATATCCTTCTTCAGCGAGCTGGCTAGGCCCCGCCTTGCCCGCAGCTCCCCTCCTTCCACTTTGCCTCGGACTCTGCTTCCACTCCTATGCACTTTAAACCTAGCCAATAAAGGGCAGAAGCAGCCTTTATGGATGAACTGGCCTCCCCTTTACTTCTTCCCTCTATTTTCTTTTATCCCCTCTTCTCATGGTGGTCTCTGAGAACATGGACTGAGGTGGGGCGGCCATCTTTGCAAAGGGCACTACATAGTCCAGCAGATGACACTGTCGCTAGTGACATACCCCTTGCATGTTTTCTGAGAAAACTGATAGGGCAGAGGCCCCACCGATGCTTTGTTTCCTCAGTGGGGTGGCCACCTTCCTCGGAGCTTGCCTTTAACCAAAATGGTAGCTCCTGCTGGTAGTTGCTTGCTTGGTTAAAACTGATATGGTTATCCTGTGCCTGCTGGTTTGGCCTATAACATGATTGCTTCCCTTCCCTTCCCTTCCCTTCCGCCTGACTGGACCAGGAGTCACCTCTGATCTTGTTTTGCCAATACGTGTCTGCACTTTGAAGCTGCTCTGTTTCCCAGCTGGAGGATCACCCCGCGCCCCGCACAGCACACCCCCAATAAACTCTACACTGTCTATAAGCATCTTCTTGCAGCTATGCTTGGGGTGGGTGAGGCTGGGGGCAACAGCTCATCTGCAAAGATGAAAAGAGGCCAGAATGGAGCCGCACCGGCCGTGAGCTCCTGCATGGGCAGCAAAAGAGCCAGCAGGGCAGAGAGCTGGGGACATTTTCATGAAATCTGGACTTCCTAGGGGGAGGCAGTAGTGCAGTTAGGTGGGTCTAGACTCTGGGCTTAATGCTCTTATGCGCGCCCCACACACCCTGCCTCCCACACGCTGATGTGTTTTCCTTCATTTACTTCTGCATGCGGTAAGCCAGCCCTGCTGTATTCGGGGCCCTCCTGTTTATTCTGCTGAGTGGAGGAGAGGCAGCTGGAGTTTTGCCCAGAGTTCCACCCTCACGGCTCCACGTATAGGAGGAGGTTCAGCTTTGTAAGGTGGCTGCACTTTGCCCACTGGCCTCCTTACATTCCTTACACTGAGCAGCACTGTTCCCTTCTGTTATCCTGTCGGCCAAATGTCCAGGCTGAATTCATTTCTTCCCTATGCAAGAGGCTCTACTAGAATCCTAAACCCATTTAACTCACCCCCATGTGTTGTAAGCACACAGGAGTCGCCACACCAAAGACTGTTGCAAGGCAGAAGGACAAGCGGTTCTACATGTCACATGGCAAGCACATTTCCAGCATGGCCGCTGTCTGTTGTGCCAGGACTCCATAACTGCGAAGGAACATGCATCTCTGTAAACAATGCACGATGGGCATATGACAGGGGGGCATGACTGGCCATTGTTTTCGTTTTGTGCTTTCAGTCATGCATTTCCAATGCAAAAGTTATTGCTCTCCTTTCTTGGACACATTTGGGAAACATGGTTCTTGTATATGCGGTGAAGGAATCCCATAAGGGTCAAGCAAAGGACCTGCACCACAGACCAGAGGAGAGACGCATGGGAGAAGCAGAAAGCCCTACAGGCACCAATAAGTGCAAACTGCGGGAAAATGCCTTCCCAGGCCCTCATATGATGTGTTAGTCCTTGAGTTTACAGGAAAGTCTTGTCTAATGGGCTTCCCATGGGGTAAATTTTCTTCTTCCTTTCCCATTAAGTAAAATTAGTAGTGATGGATCCAAACATCATCCAAGCTCATTTTGGAATATAAATCCAGATGAACTCATACTGCAATATGAAGCAGGCATTATGACACTGAAAGGTCTTCCTTGGCTCAGATTAAATTCCAGCCAGTGAGGAATTTAAACCCTTCCTCCATCATTCATCCTTCCACTCACTGCTTCTAAGCCCTTCTCAGCTTATTTTTGTATGTTCCAGCAATGAAGGAAGGGAGATCTCTCACCTGTCCTCTCTGGTACGTGCCAGATGCAAAGACCACTGGGAAATGTAATTTCCAAAGAGCTCTTGACCCATATTGGTGCTTTTGGGAACCTGCATTTCCTAATGTATCCTGCATCTGACATGCAGCGAAAGCAGAACACCAGGTATTAGAGAGGGTGCAACAATAATTGCAGTGCAGGAAGGATATGGGTGGAAGACAGACCAGTGGGCAGATGGGTGAGGGGCGTTCATTGCCATTATGGGAAGACAGCAAAGAATTGCATCCTGCCATTTTCTCAATGACTTCATTGGGGTCACCACAGGGTCTGAATAGTTCTGTTTTTATGGCTTAATTTTAATCCTGACTCCGGGGAGTTCGATCATTACTACAAAATTAGTAATTAATTATCTAGTGATGCTAAGGAAGTAGGAGGTACTTAAAATCTTTGAGGAAAGACAATTATTTCCTGATTATACTGGCCATTTTTGCAGCCCAAGAGGATGCTTAGAATTCCGCACCTCTCCTAAGTTAATCTGGCTTTCTTTTGACTAATGCCATTGCTACTCCTAGTTCTAGAGGTGCAGCTTCAGAGTTTCATTCCGTGGGTGCTTATAAATCTTCATCTTATCTGCAGCGTTAATGTGTTCGTGGAGAGCACAAATCTGTCTGCTCTTTCACTCCGTTAACAGAAACAATTCTCTCTCCAATGCGATATAATGAGTCAAATCAAAACAGTGTGGCCTCTTCAGGCACATATCTAAAGCAGCTTTTCCTGATATGGAGCCCTCCAGTTGTGTTGAGCTACCATTTCCATCACCTCCTGGCCAGTGTGGGGCCTGTAACCAAGTACAGCTCCAGGGCTCTAGGCTGGGAAAGGCAGTTCTAAAATAATTTGTCTCTTGAACCTTCTGATTGCTGCTTGTTGTCTTGTGGCTTTTCTGGTGGATCTCA